TGTCCTATCTTCAAGTTCACTAATTATTTCTTCTGCTAGCTTAAACGTGCCACTGAAATTCTGTCACGTATTTTTCCTTTTAGTTGCTGTACTTTTTAGCTCTAAAATTTCTACTTGACCTTTTTTCTATTAAAATTTTTCTCTGAAAACTTCTGTATTTAGGTTGACAATCTCATTTTTTTATATATAATTTTTCTGATTTCTTTTAGTTTTGGCCCATGTTTTCCTGTAGCTCTTTCAACTCATTTAAGATGGTATTTTGAAGTTTTTGTTTATTAAATCAAATGTCTGGTCTTCCTCAGGTATGATTTCTGCCCACTTATTTTGTTCTCTTAAAGGAGTCATGTTTTATTATTTCTTTGTATGCCTTGTGATTTTTTTTGTCGAATGTCAGACATTTGGTTATTATAGTGTCATGACTCTAGAAGTAGATTTTTCATCTTTCTCGAAATTTGTTCTTGGTTTTATTGTTAATGACTGTAGTCATCCACTTGTTGAGTGACTTTACCACACTAGTACTACAGAGTATATTCCTTTTCATGTGTGTCATTGAAGTCTCTCTTTCTTTAGCTGTGTTTAGCTAATGTTTTGGCAGAGACTACACTAAATGCCTGAAACAAAAAACAACACAAAGCAAAAGCTTCAAACTAAACAACAACAACAAAATAAACAAGTCAAATGAACAAGAAAACAAACAAAAAAACCAAACACTTTTTTCTTTTATTTTATTTTAGATTCAAGGCGTGCATGCTCAGGTTTGTTACATAGGTATATTGTGTGATGATAAGGTTTGAGTTTCCATTGAGCCCATCACCTAGGTACCCAATGGGTGATTTTTCAACCCTTACCTCCCTCTCAAATACCTCTTTTAATCTTTGCATATTGACTCTGTGCTGGGGTACTTCTTCAATACTTAGCCAGAATTGAACTGAGCCTAAATATCAGCCAAAAGTAAATGGTTAGGACTTTTTCAGGTACTTTTTGACCATTCATTTTGCCGTGGATATGTTTGTGACTTTCTAAAATATTCTCTAGTATACACTGATGCTTTTGAGTCCCACAATTTTCCAATACATTTTTTCTGACTTTTTTTCCTGAGCTTGAGATGGTCTATTGTATGTCTCAGTAGTTTGATACATATCTCAATAGACTCATTTGCCCTAGGTGTAAGATTTTTGTTTGCCTTACAGTATTCTTGAGCAATGCTTGCCACTTTTCACCATGAGTGGGTTCTGTGTTAAGGGAAACAAAGTAAGCACCTCATATCAGGCCTTCAGCAAGCCCAGACAGATTAGAATAGACATTCATAACACTTTATGAATAAAGTCATTCTGCTCTCTCTGGAACCAGGGACTTGCTCTCACACTGAAGATATAAGCTGCAATTTTCAAGACTTCTGGTGAATTGGGGAGTTGGTGGGCAACAAAGCTTTCCCAGCATTTTAAAGTTGCCCTTTTCTTATGTCAGTGTTTACTTACTTGTTGGAAAACTTGGAATGTTTTCTAGAGTTCTGACAAAGTTGATTCTGACAGTTTCATCTTGTTTTTGCTTTTTTCTGTTGAGAGACAGGAGTTTGGAGTCACCTATTCCACCATTTTTACACATCACTTGCCCATCCCAGGCAACTGCATTTTTTAATGTATATCTTGCAAACTTTTATGGAGTCTTCTGCTTGGGATAGTGCATTAGTCAAGGTTTTTTAGAGTAATGACACTAACAGGAAAGGTCGTCTATTAGAGAAAATTGATTCACATGATTACATAGATGAAGTACCATAACAGGCTATCTCCAAGGTGGGAAATGAGAAAAGATGATAGCATAGCTCAGTCCAAGTTCAAAAACCTAAAAGCCATGGGAACTGACAGTTCAGTGCCCAGTCTGAGACTGAAGGCCTGATTTCCCCTGGGAGGCTGCTGGGGTGCAAGTCCTGGAATCCAAAGGCTAAGAACCTGGAATCTGATGTCCAAGGGAAGGAGAATAAAAGTCCTACTCTGGAAGGGAGATGATATACCTAAAAACAATGCAACCTTGACATCCTTCATTCCAGTCAAGTTTGCACCTACTTTTTTTTACATTAGAAAATATAGTTTATTTTAAAAAGTAAGTTGGGGGTGGAGAGAGAGAGAGAGAGAGTCACTTCCCCAAGGTAAGGGAGGAAGCCAAAGCTAAGAAACATGGCAGCTGTCACAGCTCAAAGAGCCACGCAGACACACCAGAGTTAAACAAAACAAGATCGGAGAGTAGGCAAAAGCTAAGGTACATGGTGACCATAGCTTAAAGAGCCAAGTGAACACAACAAGGTTTAACAAAGCAATGGCCTACGCCTAATATTAAGCATAAGATGTAGCATAGGCTCTGTAAGGCTAAATGAAATTAAGGAGATGCACATAAGAGAACAGAGCTGATTTTATCTGCTTATAACCAGGATTTAGAACCTAGAGGAGGGCAACTTGTGTGTTGAGAAACTTTTGATGAAGTAGATTTCAAGTTTGCTAATTACAGAAATCTTGAAGTGTTCTAAAATTTGATTAGCCTCAGGAGAAAAGGGCTAAAACTTTCTCTGGTTTCTCTGGCTAAAACTTCACTGCATCCCTTGGGTTTCTCTGAACTAACTTTCCTCAGTGAATGATATCCCTTAGGGACATATTGTGGAGGGAAAGGAGGAGAGAGAGAGAAAGGGGAAACAGTGGGGCATCCCTTGGCAATAAGATTTTTCTGGACTTTATCCTCAGTGCTCGTGTGAAGTCATTTTTTTTCCTTTCACAGAGAGTGAAGAAGCAGCAGCTTGCTTGGGCACACGGTGCAACCTCAGCACTAATCAGGCAGGAGGTAGCTTGAACCGAGTCCTAGAGAGGTATATACTTTTTTGGTTTAGGGTTATCTCCAGAGGTGAGTGTTCAGTAGTTTCCTTCTGTGAAGGAGAGAGTAGGAGAATATCAGGATGGGAAGTTCTGGCATAACTGCCTTCTAGAACAAAGACATTCAGACCCCAAAGAGGAAGCTAAGGAACAGAGTGGACAAACTTGTCTCCAAATCCCTTCTGTACAACAAGGATAACTTTCAGTTTTTCTCTGACCCAAGGTTGGACATAGACAGAGCTCCTGGGTCTTGTTAGAACTATCATCTCTTCCTTTTCACCTGGTTCTGGCTAAACAGAGATTGTGGAAATCAGACTACTGAGCTCTCCCAGCATATGTTCTTGTTGCCCAATTGCCATTTTATAAGAGGTCCCAAGAAAGATGCCTGAATGATGAATGGTAATTGTGTCATTGAAGACAGGGGAAGAGAACACAGTTTCCTTCAGAATTGACCATAGCCAGGTCTGGATAAGCTTGGCTCATAGATTCATTCATCAATTGATTAACTCATTGATTCACCCAAAGTAGTACAACTCATTCTTAATCTATCTAAGTCGATGCCTAATGTTAACCACCACATGTAGCATAGGCTTTGTGGGGCTACATGGAATTAGGGAGATGCACAAAAGAGAGCAGGGAGCTGACTTCATTCATTTACACTTAGAGCCTAGAGGAAGGCAAACTTGATACGGAGAAACTCTTCTGTATTACACACAGTGAAGAAGAATGAATGGTGCTTATACTTGTAAGACAAGTGATAGAAAATAAACAAAAAGTGAACACATACTTTCTGGTGATAAGTGCTAGAAAGATAAATACATCTTAGTGAGGTGATAGAAAGTGAAGGAAGGGTAGTGTGTGTTCTTTTAGAGAGGACGAGGAAGTGCTTCCTGAGCTTGGGCATTTGAACAAATTCCTGAAGAACATGGTGGATAACGGCCAGGAATGCTAAGGTGCTCATGTTCTGGGGTATATATTGCATGTTAGTGACAGCTGAATCTTTACTTTGTCATATGATTTTGGGGGAATATTGACCCTGAGGAGACTTCCCAAACTTTCTGTTAGTGACCTTGGTCTTTTTTCTTGATGGCTTGGGCTGCACAAAGAATTCACACTTGGGGGCCCTGGCTCTCTGATGGATGCAGGGACTTTGAGCTCTGCCGGAGGCAGGGGAATGAGAAAACTGAACAAAAGATTCTTTTCTACCAGCCCCAGCATGATTTCATTATGGGAAAAATAGAGACTGGGGTATAAGTTTTTTCTGTGTGCTCCTTCTGAACTATGTCTGTTGGTCTGGTAATAAGGGTATGAGAGTCTTGAAGAGAGATGACCCTGCTGAACTCAGCCAAGGTAGTAGTTATTCTGCCTACTGTGGGGAGACACATCCACTGGGGAGAAAAGCAAGGGAGGCTTTCTTCCCAGTAACAGGGAAGAAGAAAGGGCCAATCGACTCAGGGAACTAGATGACCAAGACTGAAAGGTACTGAGTCCTTTTCCCAAAGAATTTGTAGAAAATTCTCAGGAGAAAATCGTCTCACCAACATACAGTAATGATGATGGAGGTGAAGCAGCAGGTTTAAAATGAACATACTTTTATTGAACCTAGGTTTTGCAGAAACAATGTAACCAAGTATGTGTCTCAGGTGTCTAATAGGAAAACTTTTCTGTAGAACTTGATGTACAGTAGGAATTTACAGGACAGAAAACACTTGGCAGAGAGGGTAATCTAGGAAATTCCAGATGGAAAGGAGTGGTGGTAACAAGGAACATACTGTGGTGATAGAGGCAGACTGGGTGGCTATTTGGAGCAGAGTGGGAGCAGATGGACTGCAGATGGAGAGATGCAGTGGAGCATGCTGAGGAGAAGTGGGGTCTCATGTCTATGGTATGGCATTGGTGACCGAGTTCATATTCTTAATCAATTCATTTTCATTTAAGTGTTGTGCATATTTAGAAAAGTTGGCACTGTGTACAGAGAAAAGTAGAACACAAATGCCTATGTTCTAGTCATTTTGTAGAGGTTATGAGAAAGAGGGGGATATTTTCTGTACCTGCAGCAGTTTCTATTTATGTTTCAGTGAGAAGCAGCCTTATCTCTCTTTTGATCTCTAGATTTCACAAGAAACAAGTGCTCAGAACTGAATGTTGGGGAATTACTCTAGTGCCACTGAATTTTTTCTCTTAGGCTTCCCAGGCTCCCAAGAAGTACGCCATATCCTTTTTACTACCTTCTTCTTCCTGTACTCAGTGACAGTAATTGGAAATATGGTCATCATTGTCACCGTCTGTGTTGATAAACATCTGCAGTCCCCCATGTATTTCTTCCTTGGCCATCTGTCTGTCCTGGAGGTCCTGATCACATCTACTGCAGTCCCTTCCATGCTGTGGGGGTTGTTGCTTCCAAGCACTCAGATGATATCTTTGACTGCATGTGCTGCGCAGCTCTATTTGTACCTTTCTTTGGGTACCTCAGAGTTGGCATTGATGGGAGCGATGGCTGTGGACCGTTATGTGGCTGTCTGTCACCCCTTGAGATACAACACTGTTATGAGCAGCCACACCTGTATTTGGGTGGTAATTATGTCTTGGGGGTTTGGATTCCTTTCTGAAATTTGGTCAGTCTATGCCACATTTCAGTTGACCTTCTGCAAATCAAATGTGTTAGACCATTTTTACTGTGACCGAGGGCAGTTACTTAAGGTATCCTGTGATGACACTCTTTTCACAGAGTTTATTCTGTTTTTAATGGCTGTTTTCATTATCATTGGTTCTTTGATCCCTACGATTGTCTCCTACACCTACATCGTCTCCACCATCCTCAAAATCCCTTCAGCCTCTGGCCAGAGGAAATCCTTCTCCACCTGTGCCTCCCACTTCACCTATGTTGTGATTGTCTATGGCAGCTGCTTGTTCCTTTATGTGAGACCCAAGCAAACGCAGGCAACTGAGTACAACAGGGTAGCATCCCTGTTGGTTTTAGTAGTGACTCCTTTTCTGAACCCTTTTATCTTTACCCTCCGGAATGACAAGTTCATACAGGCTTTTGGGGATGGCATGAAACGCTGCTACCAACTCATCAAAAATTAGCTCTGTACTGAGGGCAATGCTCATCCTGGACTTGAGTCATCTGATGTACTAAACCAAATCCCAAATGATTCTTCTCAAGATCAAAGTTAAGGCTTCAGGTTAGATCTCTGATCACTCAGGGAATCAATAGTGACTTTTATGCAATGAGAAGAAATCATGAAAGCATAGAGCAAAATAGCGAAAAGAATCCTGGCACCAGGAATCAAATATGTATGTCAGCTGTCAGATAAAAAAATCACATTTTTCTTGATATCCCATTCCCAGGTCTGAGCGTTCTAAAACTGACTCATATCCCTTGTAGGATACAAGGGATATTTAAGGTTATGGCAGTGCTTCAGTCAATAATTGGATGATGCCTACATGGGATATTACCTTGTTATTTTTAAAATGAATATATACATTCATACACCCATTTGGAGTTATAATGCATGCCACAAAATAAATTTGACAAGGGTAAATATACAAAATATGTGTCAGTTTTAGAACGCTCAGACCTGGGAATGGGATATCAAGAAAAATGTGATTTTTTATCTGACAGCTGACATACATATTTGATTCCTGGTGCCATGATTCTTTTCGCTATTTTGCTCTATGCTTTCATGATTTCTTCTCATTGCATAAAAGTCACTATTGATTCCCTGAGTGATCAGAGATCTAACCTGAAGCCTTAACTTTTCCTGTGGTTCTTGCCTCCAATGTCCAACAGTGACAGCCCCTCCCTGTGGATTTTCTTGCAGGCAGTTGTGAGAGTGAACTGTCTGCCTTACCCTGACTTTTTAACAATTGTGATGATGGAGATGTTAATACAGGGTCATCTCTGATTGGTGGACTTTCTCAGACAGGGGCTTAAGGTCTTGGAAAGAAGCACTGTCTTCTCTAATGTCACTGACATTATCACCCGAGGCCCAAATGAGGAGGGTAGTGGGGCTGTGTTCTGGGAACTGATGTGACAAGGCAGAGCCTACTGTGCCGTGTCCTCGGGCTGAGTGGGAAGTGTAAAGACGGCAGAGGGAGAGGTGGTTTATGGCCCAACTCCCTTTGTCTTTGACCATCTTCAATCCTGGCATGGCATATTCCTCTCCCTGCTACCTTAGTTCACCCCAACCCCTCCCAGTTTCTTTGTTGATTTTGTTTCTGTCTTTCTCTCAACTACCAGATTCATTTCTGTGTTTCTCTCCTCCACCATGTCCTCACAAGGATCAGGTTTACCAAGTTTCCCTCCAGCTCTGTACTGAGCTCCCTTAATCCTTATCCCCATTCCTGTATAACCCTATTTTCATCTTCCTTCCTATAATATCTGCTATTGTCAATATTTCTACACTGCATGACACAAGTTTAGATTTCTACTGCATCATTATACAAGTAATTATACAAGTTTGTAACTGAAGCCCAAATGGATATCAAAAGATGACTGCTTATATAATTTATGGAACTTTAATTCAGTTGACTGTTTCACAAATGTAGGAAAAATGAGGAAGTCTTCTAGGTCATTGAAAGAAAGATCACCAAGATATATTGTTGAAAAAGAATAGCAAAGAGCATAAAATGCTGTCAATGTGTTACATTTTTGTTTTTGTTTTTGTTTATTTATCAAATTTTAGATAACATTGAAGCATTCCATATATAAATATTTCATTTTGTGTATTAACATAAGTCTTTGAAGATCTGACAGTCAAGTCTTAAGTCTTAAGTGTAATATATTTTATATCTAGGAATCTTAAACTCAAATAAAGCATGTAATTAATATTAAACAGCATATGTATTAAGATATACTGTTGAGTAAGAATAGCAAAGAGCATAAAATATTGTCTATGTGTTGCATTTTTGTAAAAAAAAAAGGAAAACTTTGTGTATATTCATATTTTGTTAGTTGCATGAAGAAAAGTGTGGGAAGGAAACCAGGAAATGTGTTACCTGGGGATGTGGTGGTGGGAATGGGTTTCATGGGAAGAGTGTTATGAGGTAGACCCTTTATTACATGGCTCTGAATTCTACTGCATCATAATGTATTATGTCTAAAAATAAAAAAGATCATCTTGCTTTAATTTCCAAGGAGAGTTTGCTTGTTTATGCAAATATTTGGTAGAACAAAGGATACATTTTGCCAGAAGTGTCTTTAGTAAATCTAGATGTTTTGTGAAGTAGAGCCAACTAGTGTTAAGTAGCAAATAGTAAGGGAGGAAAGTTGGAGATTCACATTTTTCTTATCCTGAGGCCTTAATTACTTTTGTAATGATATAGTGATAGTCTTTAGTAGATATTACGGATACTTACTTTACATTATCTTATGTATGTTGGGAATATCTTTTTTCAATCTTTTTTTGACTTTTCACTTTTTAATATAGTTTTCTGTCATTTAGAAGTATTTACTTTTGTCAAATTAACTTGCATATATCATTTAAAAATGTCTTTTCTACTCAAATGACACAACAGTAGTTTTTTTTTGATATTTACATGATCTGACGATGTAAACATAATACAACAATTTTTTTGAAAAGAGAAGGCTGTGATAGCATATGCTACATTTTAATGAATATTTTTAATAATTACATTTATCATGATAGTATTAGTATTATAACATTTCTTGAATGGTTTTGAGTGCAATGTGAATAAAGTAAATCAATAATTATGGAACATTTTCATCCTAAATATAATATGGAAGAGGTTAGGTAAAGTCTCTGGAGTTTTATATTTTAAATGCATATGTAGATGTATATGTATTTATATATTGTATATTTATCATATATATGAGTGGACTCTCAGTGCACTCTCAGTGCTCTCTTTGTCTCCCACTGTCTCTGTCTGTCTCTCTTTCTCTTTCTTGGCTCTGTACACTGAAATTTCCTGGCAGCATTGACTAATTCAGTTACAAAAAGCACCTGTAGCCCCAGTTCATGGTCTTAACAATGCCATTTCCTGATATGAGAAACAGTGGCTTCTAGGAGAAGTAACTGGTTCCATATCTAGGACAGGAACTCTACAAGAAAAGCTTGGAAAATCTTGTCATACTGGGTATCAAAAGAATACTAAGGTCATATAAAATAGATTCAGGAGCCAACTGGAGAAGAATTCCACTGGCCAAAGATAGAGGAAGTTGTGCTTCAAAAAATATAAAATTGCAATATTTAAAATCCATAAAATATTTTGACACTTATGAGTTTATAATGGTACTTTAAAAATTAGTCACCTTCAAAAGATGATATTCATTATTCATCAGACCCAAGTTTGAAAGTCTTTGAAACTACCAACTTATCGAAAAATATGCAGAGAGCAGAAAGAAGTATTTAACTGCACCATGGATAGATTCAGCAAAACCCAGATTATAGAAAATATACACCCCAACACCTGAGTTTCTCAACAAATAGGTTAGAAGGAAGTGAAAAAGTTATGAAGAGAATCTGCAGATTAAAAACAATCTCAAAACATGTTAAATAAAATGAGTAGAAGACCAAATAGTAGCTAAATAGTTTAACTGTGTAGTAGTTCAAACAGGAGTGATGAAATCTTAAAAGAATGCAAAGATGTGTTTATTTAAAGGTGGAGATCATCATTACTTCTGAGGATGTTATGATTGTAATTGGAATGGGACACATGGATGGGCTTCTGGGGTTACTATTAAAATACTTTCTATTGATCTGGATGGTGGTTGCTAAATAATTTTTAAAGCTATACATATGTTTGATGTGCTGTTTCTATATGTGTGTTTTATATTAAAATCAAATGGCTGCACTTGTCTTTATATTCTAATAGTTTTAGTTTCTGATATTTATATTAAAATATGGGTTATTATTTATTTTGGGGTAGAAAATGACAACCTGCACTTTCTGGAAATCACTGCCATAAGTAAGGATTAAATACTAATAACTTATTTTGGGAGAATGCAATTCTACTATAGCAAAATAAAAGGAAATGAGACTTTAAAGAATGGTAAATGATGCAGTGTGAGGAATTGCCACGTTGACCACTGCTTCCTGATGATTAGAGAATGACATGATGACATGTGTGTCTACATAAAAAATCTCTAAGTTTATACCAGAAAACTCTTGAAAGTGATAGTAGATTTTAGCAAGACTGAAAAAAGCAAGGTCAATATACAAAAGCAAATCGCTTTTCTGTATACTAACAATTAGAATTAAAATGTATGTACTAATACCATTTTGATAGCTCCAAAAGAAGTGAAGTACTTTGATATGAATTTGACAAAATATATTCAAGATCTTAGCAGAAAATCTCTAATTATCAAAGAAAAAACCCAAAAAATTCAAAATAAGTGGAGAGATAATGAATAGAAGGCACAGTATGGTTAAGATATTCTTACAATTTCATATAGATTCAGTGCAATCACAATAAGGTTCTATCAAGCTTTTATATAGGCATTAACACAATAAATCAAAAATTCATAAAGAAAGATAGGAATAGCAGAATGGCCAACATAATTTTGAAAAAGAAGAACAAAGTCAGAGGACTTACATTACTCAATTTGAGGACATTTAATAAAGTTACAATGATCAAGATGCTATGATAATGGAAAAAATGATAGCTACTTACATCAGTAAAAGTGAATAGAGAGACCAGAAATAGACCTAAACAACTATGAACTCATTATTCACAACATTGCAAAGAAAATTCATTAAAGAAGGGCTAACTTTTTTGAAAAATAATGCTGGAACAGTTGAATATGTATATGCAATAAAATGAATTGCAATATAGATATATCTTGTAATGTATATAAAAAGTAACTAAAATGCCCTGAATGAAAATGCAAAATCATGTACTGTCTAGAAGAAAATCCCATGACCTTGAGTTTGGTGGTTAGTTGTTAGATAAAACACCAAAAGGAAAATAAATGGAAGAAAAATCTGAAAAGTTGATCTTTATCAAAACTGAAAAGTTTGACTGTGCAAAAGTCACTATAAAAATCATAAATGATAAGGCCCTGATAGGAAGATATTTGAATATCTCATATCTGATAAAGAACTTGTGTGTATGGCCATACCACC